GACATAAAGTCCTTTGAAATCATCAACTGGAGCCGTAAACTTCCCACATTCATCTACAGGACATATCGGTTTCATATCTTTGGTAATAATGTTGTTTTCCAGACAAGCTTGATAATCAATCTAAACTGCTTTGTAAATGTCACCTTCCAAGTTGCAAGATAAACCCAGCGCTTAATAGTTTGGTAAATTTTGTCACCTCTCCAAAATAGGGCGCCTGATGAACGACACCGGTACCTTGATCGGTAGTCACGAAAGTACCAGTAATTACCCGAAACGCATCCCTTTCTTCCCTCATGTAGGCAAAGTACGGGAAAAGTGGCTGATACTTCTTTCCTTCCATCGTCTTGCCTTTGAAACGATCCAAGACATTGTATCCATCAGCCTTTTTGTAAAGTTCAAAAAGCCGCTAAAAACTCTGTCTAATTCGTAAAAAAACAGTAGTATTATTAAGTAAAGCCTAATTTGCTGCTTATTCACCTAGTAATACTTCACGAAATATGACTCAAAAGTGCTATAAAAAACGCTAGTTAAGCCCACAACCTCTTCGAGAAGAATGTATTTTTTCCCCGAAGCGCTGTCTTCTATCAAAACATAGTCAAGGTCAGGATGGACTACCAAAGACAAATTGCTGGGTAAAGTCCACGGAGTTGTTGTCCATGCCGCTAGTTGAATGGTAGGGTCATCTTCCAAAGTGAATCCAACCACGACTAAAACACACCTCAAACAATTCAAAAAACTTTTACCAATACTACCTCATACTTTTCGAAACTACATGGGGTATAAAACAGTGCTTCCATAAGATTAGAATGTGCAAAACGTTAATGCTCTCCAAAGTGGCTTAAGAAAAAATTCAAAACTAAACTACTCACCTGCAGGGTCCACCACGTCTTTATAATTCTGTCCTGCCTCAAAATTTGATAAAGGTGTAGAGCAGCTTGTAGAAAATGGCATCACCTAAATAACTGTAAATCAATTTTTAAAAAAAGACTTTTTACGCACCTGCCG